CCTTTAGATCTGACCAACATCTACCCAGGATCATTGTCTTTGATAATATTCGGCCATGATTACTTTTTTTTTTTTTTTTTAATATCTATGGTCGTCTAAAATCTACAAAACAAAATGCCATTAAAGACCAAATAAATGACAGGATAAGATGAAATTGATGTTCTCTGGGGGAAGCGACACATAGAAAATGAGGACACAGTTCAGAGGAGTATAATTTAAGTAAGCAGTTTCTATGGCTGAAGAGCACAGCAAGCAGACAATAGTTACAGTGAACAGCAGAGTAAAAGAAAAAGCAGAAAATAAACATAATGCAAAAGCTACACTTTGTAACACGGTTACTAAATAGCCTCTTTTTTATGATACATATGAAGGACAATCTAAAATTCATTCTGTTTCATTTAAAAGTTGATTCACCATTACATAATTTGAGTAAATTAACTTTCCACTATGATACACTTAAGATTATGAAGCTTTTTTAACAGTAGGCCACAATCAAATGTTATCTAATCATGAAGTAAGTAAGTAAATAAATAAATAAATAAATAAATAAATAAAAACAGTCCTCTTTAAATCTTGGTTTTACACACAGCAAAATAAAGCACTGTCCACTGTTCACCACAAGATGGCGCCATTGTGCCCCTCACGGCCCATCCCACTTCACTTCCAAACATGTTAGCAGTTTTAATAAAGCTAGCCTTGATACTGCACGATATGGTTTCCTGTTTATGCCGAAAATATATTGCACAGCGTGTAACAATGGATTACAAGCATTGTCTCAAGCTTTATTACAGACAGGTGGTACATTTTAAAATAAAAAATATATTGCAAAGCAGGTATTTTTTCAACGTAGCTTCCGGAATAAGAAGGCTGTTTTTTCACGTCGAATTGTGACTGTATCAGAAACCAAACAGAGGTAAGATGTGTTGGAAACTTACCAAAATACACATTATGTGTATTTCCACGTAAAGTTTTTAAAAACCAATAAAAGAGGTTTAAAAACGCAACGAAACCACACGGTGGCTTTTATTCTGACAGAGCGTCGGAGCGGAAGCCGCCTCGCTCCTCTCTTCAGCTTGACGCAGTTTGACTGGGTCACGCTGCAAGCCAGCCGGATGTTTTGCGTCGCCAGTATGTGATGGGAACATTTGCTCATTTTCTCCCAACGCTGAATCGTGCGGCTCCGGCGGCGGCCCTGACCCGGTGAGTACCCGCACACAGCGTCCGCCGAGCGGCCCGGTTCGCCGGAGGAGCCGCAGGTTGGTGCGGGGTAGAAGCTGCAGGGAGGTCGTGACGGTGTTGGTTTGCAGTGACCGTGCACGCCCCTGCGCGCTCCCCCAACATCCATAATATAGTTTGTGTAGATTGCAGCTCCTTCAACAGGCGGCAGGCTGGAGGCTGCTTATCACCAGTCTGACTGGAAATACGTGTGGGAATGTTTTAAAACGAGAGGAGATGGAGTTTGTGTGCTGTGGAGTGAAGGAGGCCTGGAAAGCTTCCACTAGTTCTCTGATGGTTGAGTCTGTCTGTCTGTCGTGTCTCCACCTGTCTGCTGTTCATCTGTATGTGCTCTCTGTGGCAGCTGTGTCTGTGTGGCACACAATGGTGGCTGGTGGCTCCCTGAGGATCAGAGCAGTAGCAGTCCCGGATTGGGTTCACAGCTTTTGATGGGCAGGGGGAGGTGGTGTGAGCACGAGCCCCAGCAGCTGTCTTTTATCTCATCCTCTCCTTCAACTTCTGTCCATCCTCTCCAGGTTTTTTTTTTAAAGCGACTCAAGAATCTGTGTTTCTTCTTGTTCCTACAGTGTGCTGTTTGAATGCTGTCTGTGCAGAGTTTGACACTAGAAGGATGTTTTCACATTCATCTGCTGAAAGTGGAAAGTTTCTCTGAGCTCATTAAAAATCAGATTATTACTCATTACTTGTACTGTGTGATGTAGAAGCCACCAGTGCACATACACTGAGAATGGTACAGTGAAAGCAGGAGACACAGAATTGAATGGAGAGTGACCTTTTATCTTTGTCAGTGAACTTTCTGACTGATAAACTGTGGGCTGTGAGTCAGATCTCCTGCATATATAAAAGGAGTTATCTGATTTATTTCAGCCCTTGAACGCTGCAGAGGGACCCGTTGTAAAATGAAAGCGACAGCCAGATATGTAAAGATACGGCTGAGCTGCAGCTCTCTTTGGCTCTCCACAAAGTCTTCATCTGATCAGTTTTTCCACATTTATGAATATTCATTTGACTGACACGTGCATGCAGCAGACGCACAGAGATATATATATATAATGTATAATCTATACTGCCTGGTTTAGTTTTTTGGTGATTTCAATGCTTGGTGGAAATGCAAGGGGTCAGAGGACAGGTCGGAGAGGTCACGAGGGGAGCAGGTCTCCTTCTGTTGCATGGACCTGGGTCCGATGGTCTATGCAAAACATTTTTAGTGTTTGTTTTAACCTTGCCAGATTGGTTCTAATGCCAAAAAAATGACAAAATCAGTAATTCTTCAAGCAAGAAATACCAAATATTCCCTTGTTCCAGCTTCTGAATTGTTAGTATTTCCTCATTCTTGTTGTTTTTAAGTGATAATAAAGTAAATATCTTATCTTTTCACATTTTTCTGCTGTTTTTCAGACCAAAGATTGATCAAGATAACTAATTGATAATGGAAACAACTGTCAATAGCAGCCCTAGAGCAGAATTCATTTCATGCTTCAGCTCAGCAGATAACCCGCTCTGCGTCTCTGCTGTTTCCTTTTGCTCTTTCGCCGTTATTGAACTCTGCGGCGTGCGTTCAGCGTTATCTGTGTCCAGAGAGAAAAGTGATCATCCTGTTGCTGCTGCAGTTGCTGGGAGCAGTACACACACACACACACACACACACACACACACACACACACACACACCTGTTTGTTACGACAGATGGTCCACAGAGCGCTCCACTGTCTGTGTGTTTGGATACCGTGCAGTTGGTCAGCTGTTGTATCGCCCCTCGTCACCCTTATCTGACTCGGCAAGCTGACTCAGAGCACATTCTTATTTAATCAGGCAGTTGTTTTCCTGTCGAGCCGGGGCGAGCTGAAAGAACACTTATTTTGTTTGGCAGGTCGGCTGAGAACGCACACTGAAACGCACTGGCACCACGGGCTGCTTTTTGTTGCTTTTGATTGCACGCTACCCCCTCGCTGCCAAGATAAATTCTGCTGGATATTAAGCCTTATCTCTCTAAATTAATATTTCTGTTGGCAGACTGCTGTGTGTTCAAACTTAGAGCCTGGAGCACACTGTGGGAGCTTGCAGTTAGGTTGCTCTGTAGCCACACTGTTACTTGGTTGATTCATAAATTTTTTTTAATTGTTGATTCATTCTTTAAACTATAAACTGCCCACAGAACCCAAAGTGACATCTTCAGATATTTACAGGGTGTCTGTAGGGTCTAACAAAGACTGAAATCCAATATTCTTAATTTTATGTCCTAAAATATCTTAAAAGTTGCATTTTTCAGTCTCTTTTTTTATGTGTTCTTGGAAAAAAATGTATTGATCATTTTGTAACAGCTACAAAATGGAACCAATGAACCCATATTGATTTTGCTTTGTATCCTTTGCCTGTATGGACTTAAAGTATGTCTTAAATTGCTTCCATAATAGTCTAAAATCCAGAAACCCTGACTTAAATTAGAACTGCAACGATTATTCAATTAATATTCTGTCAATCGATTGATCAATTAATGTGCAACTATTAATGTCCTCATTATAGCTTCTCAAATGTAATGATTTGGTGCTATATATAAGATATATGTTAGGAAGGTTGTGTTGTTGTGATAAATACAAATTGTAGATCCCACTGTTCTGGTCGCATATAAAATTTGTGGTGTTCTTTATACTATGACAGTTTCCCTAATTCAGTCATCAAATTCTTGCCGTAAGAAACGTAAGAAGGTTTTTTTTATGTAACTGTGTCATTGATAGTTTTGCCTTATTGGCCTGAGTGTCTGCTGCTTTCCCACTTGTTGCACTTCCCTCCTCTACCCATATTGAACATACAGTATTCCCCTAAAGTGGTGAGTGAAAGTCTGAACCATTTACCCCCCATTGGCTGTGTGCCCAGGTTTGCCCAATAACTGCTTGTCGTACTGGCCTTGTAGGGTGTGGAACTGTGCAATATGTATTTGCATCCGTGACACTAATAAACACACATATATTATTAGATTATTTTGCATGTCATTTTGTTGGAATCATTCAAATTCTGTTATTTGCACGCGGGCTCCATAATCACATAAAAGACAGAAAGGCAAAGATTTGTGCTTCCGAGTCATCTGCCCTAAGTGTGCTGCAACAATGAGGAACACGTCCCCTCCTCACTCTCATTGGGACATAAAACTTTTTGATGTCCCTCACCCCCCAGACTTGTCCTCTTTCCCTTTCAGCTCGGCCACACTCTCCTCTTTCCTCTTGCACTCTCTTAAAGGCCACGCCAGTCTTTCAGCCAGCCTTGGTCTTTTCTTTCTGTTTTGAACCCCCAACCACCCCCCCTTACACCCCTTACACCCCCACCCCGAGACAAAGAGAGGAGAGTGACTGTGGTGCTCTGTAGCCAGGTGTTCTCCATTGCTGCCCCGGGCCGTAATAGCACCAGCCCTCACACTGCAGCTGCCCTCCCCAGCCTCCCATTGTGTAACTCCATTGTTCAGCCGCCCACCCCTCGTTGATTCATCGGCCACACAGGGGAAGCCCTTTCAGACTGAGGAGAGGAGTGTGTGTGTGTGTGTGTGTGTGTGTGTGTGTGTGTGTGTGTGTGTGTGTGCGTGTGCGTGTGTGTGTGTGCGCTGGTGCACGTTGAGTACGCGTGCCTTGGGGAAACTGGGTGTTGCAGGCATTTGCCCACAGCCACTCCCCTCCATCCCCCCCCTTGTCTCTGCGCCTCATTGTAAGGCCCCCCCTGCGCTCTGATTGGTGGAAAAGCAGCCACTCTAAACGAGGGAACGGCAGACATTGTTGCTCCATCTGTTCTGCCACTCATTGTCCGACTTGCCTTGCTCTTGTGGAGGAAAAAAAAATAAAGATACAGCGCTGGAGGACACTCAGACGCTGAGGACAGAGGCGCTCGGGCTGGAGTTGGATGCTCTGCCGTACCTGCAGCAAAATACGGAACGTCGGCCTCGGATGCAGCTGCTGTGCAAACTTTTTTTATTTCTCAGTGTCAACTTCTGTTTTCCAATCTGCTTTTTAAGGATTTAACTTTGTGGAAATGAGCTACTTCCCTTTCTTCATTGTTTGTTGATCTTTTAAGGTCTGGTAAGTGTGACAAAGTCTCCTATAACCTGACTTTTATACTGAAACTTTACTTTTTAGCTTGTTATTAAATTCAAAACATCCTTTTTGTTGCTGTTTTCTGATCTGTCTTTTAAAAAAGCAACTGTTTTTATTCTCACTGATACTAGGACCACTGAGCAAATGCAAAGGGCCCTAACTATACTGTAGCACTGTTTCCTGCATGACAGGTTGCTCCACAACCAGCCTGGCTGCAGCATCATAAATCGCTGTAATGCTGACCTAACTAAATGTTAAACCTAATGTGACCTGAATTACTGGATTCCCTTGAAGTAGAAGTGGCCCAGAGTCATGTATAGTTCACATTGATAAGTTCAGAATAAAGAGGGGACGGTGCAGTCCAGTTTCTGTGTCTGTCTGCTGGTTTTGGAGGTGCCAGACAAGAGATGAAACAGTCTGGGCGTCCCACAGGGCCCAGCAGTGAGTCACTGCAACCACCACAGTAAGAGTCTTACTGTGCAGCGCTCTACTACACCTGCCTAAACTTTGCTCCAGTCTGCAGCTGTTACACCAGCACAGCACTTATTCGAATTTCAGTGTGATGTGTGTTGATATGAAAATTGACTTGCAGTGGGAGTGGGGGGGGGGGGAGAAATGGGGCAGCGTTGGGGGTTGTTTAGTTTTTTTGGGAGTGGGGGGAGGTAACAAAAAGCAAGCTGCTTCTTTTCTGGGTCACATGAGGATGGAGGAAGCAAACAGTGCTTCGGCTGAAGATGTCGGCCTTGGAAAGTGTGTGTGTGTGTGTGTGTGTGTGTGTGTGTGTGTGTGTGTGTGTGTGTGTGTGTGTGTGTGTGTGTGTGTGTGTGTGTGTGACTTTCACATCCAACCGTGTGTCCTCAGTGTGTGTGTCAGTGCCTGTCTGTCCTGCTGCGTCTTCATTCTCGCTCTACTGGCTGTGTGGAGACAGGGGTGCTTTTGTGTGTGTGTGTGTGTGTGTGTGTGTGTGTGTGTGTGTGTGTGTGTGTGTGTGTGTGTGTGTGTGAGTGAGAGACACCAGTTGCGAGTACCGCTGAGCCCGACATCTGTTGCCGTGCTGCTGGCGGGGAAAGCCTTGCGCGCCACCTAGATGCACCAACACACACACACACACACACAGTATTCCCCCGGCTGATTATTCTTCCCAGCACAGCCCCCTTTTCTTTTTTTACAATAAGTTTTGCACAGTGTCGGGCATGCAGCAATACACGGCCAGACAACCCCCCTCTCTAGTCCTCCCTGTGCCCCTCCCAGACTAACCCCACCACCCACCCTCCCCTCAAACCTGAAACCCTCACCCACTGCACACACACACAGACTTTTTTACACAAAGCTCCCACATACAAAGCGCTGTAAGGACTGTGTTACATATTCATTACTGCCTCCATCAAAGCCACCAGTGCTGCTGCTGTGTGTGTGTTTTGTGTGTGTGTGTGTGTGTGTGTGTGTGTGTGTGTGCGTGTGTGTGGGAGCTGGCCCTGCTGATGTTTGAAAGATGCACCCACTCAGCTTGGAGGTCTGGAGATGGTGTGATGAGGTCGCTCTGCCGTTGGTCCGTTAAGATTAGGCCTGATTTGGGGATTCCACAATGAGCTGAATGCATTCTTCCGTGGGACTTGGACCACACTTGAACACTTTTATCTAAAAAATCCTAACTGACTTGCATTTAATCAGATGATTTCACAGGCTTTACCAGCGACAAGCCCACTGTTGCTGTTAAGCAGCTAAAACAACAGGATTATGATCAGATTTGTCCAGATTGTGAAAAATTAAATGGGGTTAATGTGATACAGTCGCTTCAACTGAAACTGGAATTCTGATCCCTCACAAAGTAGAGGATCAGACAATGACTGTTTGTGATAATCTGCCATATGTCTCACAAACTTGTGTATTCCACTAGTGTTTTATGTGGAAAATTAGCAAATTTTGTAGTAAGTTTAGTAGGGCTGTGTATTGGCATTAATGTGGCGATACGATACGTATCACGATACAGAGGTTACGATTCAGTATGTTGCGATACTGTAAGGAATGCGATGTATTCAGATTATCAAATTTCAAATCACAGTCCCTAACAACCAGCATTCGGGTTTATACACGAAATACAATATTACAAAACAAAATATCACAATACTGATAGTTAGCTCCCTGTAGTGTCCCTGTAGTTAATATCATAGGCTTTTGAAAATAAGACTGTGGAAGAATGTGACTTTTCATAGACAAAACAATTAGATTATTTAGGGATGTACAGATCCAATTTATTCTCTTCCAAAACCGATTTCGATACCCCAGCTCGGTATGCCAATATTCCAATCCGATACCAGTGCTCTCCTTTTCTCTAATTAAAAATCTGTGCACCTTCCATGTTTTACATAATGTTTATGTAAGGTAGCATGAGGCCACAGATTGCCGTTAACATCCAGCCGTGATTGAATTGAATATGACTGATAGTGGAAACACTGATTTTTATAATGGCATTGGTGAAGAAACGATAATGGGATCGATGACCAACATCATGACCAACATTAAATGACTGACTTAATCAGGTCAGTGTCATACTGAGTTTGATACCCAGCACTCCCTGCTCCCAGTGAAACTATGTTGGCAGTAAATTTGTTGTAATTTGCTTCTTTTTCATAAAGTTTGTACATTTGTACAACTTATTTAGTTGTACTTTTCTGTCACAAACCACTTTTACTGCAGTTGGATATGAGTGATGATCGACTTCGGTTGGCGTCCTTGATAAGAGTCACTGGTGTAATGTCATGTCTACGCGTGCTTCGGCTGGATGATGTCAAACCTTTAGAGAAACTTAAATGAAAAGATAGTTTGGATGTGTCCGTTTTTAAACCACAACAAAGTAGAGTGCGCATGCAATGTTCCCAACAGCCCCGCTCTCTCCACAGCAGCATGAGTCACTTGATGAGGTAGACATTGTGTGTACGTGTGTGTGTGTTCGTCTGCACCATCAACGCCCACATCGGTTGATGCCAAGGTCCCAGTCCTAATCACTCCTGCAGGTCTATTGCTGTCTTGGGTGGCGGGGTGGGTTGCCAGTGAGGCACACTTAAGCCCCTCCCTCCCCCACACCAGACCCTTTTGTAACGTGTGTGTGTGTGTGTGTGTGTGTGTGTGTGTGTTTGTGTGTGTGTGTGGAAGGCGGGTCGCCGACTCAACGCCGCAGCCTCAGTCTTGGCATTTGGAAGTGAGAATGCTTTCAACAGCTGTAGCTTAGCAACAGTAGCTCAGCCGCGTTGCTAGGCAGCCTTTTTTCATAAAATGCAAACTCACTCCACCTCACCCCCCTCCCTCACACACCCTACCCCCCCCTCCTCTTCTCCTTCCCACCCACCATCTTTAAGTCACTTCCCCTTCCATCATCTGTTTTGTCCAGATAACGTTGGCTTGAGTTTGTTTTCTGGGTTGTAAGATAAGTCCAACCAGGTTGAAGAGCTCTCAGTGTCCAACTGTGAATTTACATTTGTACAATTTGCTATTGCTGTTGTCTGGGGGGGGGGGTTACTAAACCGTTTGTTCTAAGACACGCAGAAGGACTCTCAGAAATATTTATCCATAGAGGTTTGGTTTTCTTTGGATGGAACACCATAAATACTGAGACTTCCAAAGACGTCAGTAAGCAAAGATTTCATGGAGACTTAAATTGGTCCACTCAGAATACACTAGGGCTGTAATTTTGTTTCTAGAGATTAACATATCAGTTTCATGATCTCAGATTAACTTTCCAAAGTGCTCCCTGTAATTTGTGTGCAGCTAAACCTTTGACCGCAATCAGATTAGTCTAACCAGATCCCATGTCCTTGGTTCTTGAATGTGGTCTGTTGATTGGCTCGGTGGCCTCGGAGCCCCTCGGTGTTTTAATGAGTGACTCCTCCACCCCAGTGGGAAGAAGCATATGGACCTTAATTACCAGGTAGAATGTTAGGGGGGAAGGGTCTGTCGGCCTCATCGCTAACGGCTTGCTGTCTCTTTTTTTTTTTAAACGGTTCACCCTCTGTTCCCCCTTTAGATTAATGTGCTGTGGCGTGGCCTTATAAAAACACACTGGGGCCAGACTAAAAACGCGGGAGTCCATTAATTAGGGTGAGAGGCCCCGGCGGCTCTTTGTGTCGGCCAGTCTGTGCCTCTGCAGAGTCCCCAACTGCCCGCAACAGCCAGTCAGAGCCAGTGTAAACATCAGCTTAGGGCCTTACAGCGCTATGAAGGCTTAGGCAAATTTTTTTCCCAGGAAAATGAAGGTGAAAAGAAAACATTTTCCTGAAACGGCAGTCAGTGTTGACTCTAGATTATCATGTAACGACACAGCCTGAAGGCAAATTCTCACTTTGCAAATGATTCCCCCTGTAGTGGACTGGTTGGTTTTGTAACAGACATCAGACTCATACCATCACCCAAATGGTAGTTTGAGCACTTCAGGGGTTTATCCAGTTTCTCTGGAGGCCTCACATTCTGAGTCACCTCAGCATACTGTGTCATTTTCATTTGATTACCAGTGCTGATAAGAAAATGTAAAATTCTCTAGTTGTATTTAATTTCATGGTATCATTATTAATCTCAATTATCAATTTAATTGTGTTGGCCATCAGGACATTTGAGCAAGTCACCTTGGGCTTTGGGAAACAGTAATCAACCTTTTTTCACCATTTTCCACCATTTTATGGCCCAAACGAATAATCGATTAATCGAGACAATGATTGATCGATAATGAATATAATCGTTAGTTGTAGCCTAGTATTGGCAAGAGATGAGAGATACGATACATATCACAATACATGGGTTACGATTCAATATATTGTAACATTTTACAAGTTTTCAAGTTAAAAGAAGTTAACTTTAAAGGGTTTAAGCCGTGTGTTTGAGATAGACAATATCACACCCCTACTGGATTTGGGGCTTATATAGTATAGTGTGTATCTCATAGTCACTCCATCCTCCTTTCTGTCTCTTTAGGCACCAATGAGTCGAGCTTTGTGAGAGGGCAGCAGTTGGCCCCGTGTGCTGGATGTCTGTGACAGATCCATGGGCCAGAAGGACCATGTGGAGGCAGGAGCAGGCCACATCCTCGACCTGGGGCTGGATTTGGAGTATCTCCACGTAGCAGGGGCTGACCGGCAGGCTGGCGGCGCTGACGTGCCCCCCGCTATGGAGGAGCAGGGGGAGAGCTCCGGCAACTGCAGCACCGCCAGTTCCCCTCCGCCGGAAAACGTTGGGTCTGATGTAGAGTGCGAGCCGGCGCCGCCTTCCAGCGCCGCCCTCGCTGCCGGCCCTGACCCGGACGGAGGAGAGGGAGGGTCGACTCACAGCAAGAACGCCCACCAGCCACTTTGTCGGACCCAGTGTGTGGACTTAGGCACTGAGGGTCCTCCCGAGCCCCCGTCCGAACTCTCGCCAGAGCTTGAACACGACACCCCTGCCCAGTCCTCACCCAGCACCCCATGCAAGCACCCACCCGAGCCTCCGTCCGATCCCTCCACAGCAGAGCCAGCATCCGAGGCCGGTGGGAAGGAGTACCAGGCTAAGCTGGAGTTCGCCCTGAAGCTGGGCTACTCTGAGGAGACGGTGCGACTGGTGCTGTCCAAGCTCGGCCCTGACACACTCATCAATGACATACTGGGAGAGCTGGTCAAACTGGGCACCAAGTCAGACAGCGAGCAGCCAGCTGGATCATTAGCCTCTACCTCATCTTCTTCGTCCTCCTCTTCCTCTTGTGGCTGTACTGATTTGCTGGATGGCCAGAGGTCGGACTCGCCCTGTCCTTCAGACTCTCTGTGTGACCAGGACAACCTGCGGCCCATTGTGGTGGATGGTAGCAATGTAGCCATGAGGTGAGTTTATGCTCACAGTTTGAATGAAGACGTGTTGTTAATTCCACACAGCAGATGTTCACATCATAGCGTGAAAAAAAAAAACTGTACAGACATACTTTAAAACCCAAAATGTTCATTCGCTATTCCCTTCTGCCTCTTAACTATGTCCTGAAGCCATGGCAACAAGGAAGTGTTCTCCTGCCAGGGCATCCAGCTGGCTGTAGATTGGTTCATAGAGCGTGGCCATCATGACATCACGGTGTTTGTGCCTGCGTGGCGGAAAGAGCAGTCCCGCCCCGATGCCCCTATAACAGGTCAGTGCAGGAGGCTGTCTGACACAAACACACACATCCAATAAAGGTTATTCTAGGACAGTGTTTTTTCTCAACCCATAACTCTCCCCCCTCCTACACACAGATCAGGAGATCTTGCGTCGCCTAGAGAAGGAAAAGATCCTAGTCTTCACTCCTTCGCGGCGCGTCCAAGGTCGCCGTGTGGTTTGCTATGACGACCGATTCATTGTCAAGCTGGCCTATGAGTCAGACGGCATCATTGTCTCCAACGATAACTACAGAGATCTGGCTAATGAGAAGCCTGAGTGGAAGAAGTTCATCGATGAGAGGCTGCTGATGTATTCCTTTGTCAATGACAAGTGAGTAGAGGTGGATTAGTGAGGGAGAGTTTGTGAAATATGATTAATCTTGATGACTTGGTGTCAAAAGAATAGCGGCATTTAATTTTGAACTCAGAGAATCTTAGTTACAGATCATCTTTCATATCTCATTCCCATCAAATCTGACATTTGGTGTAGCATTTTCACTTAAAAGGAGAATCACATTCTACCTCCATTGTACCTCGTCTCTCAGGTTCATGCCCCCAGATGACCCTCTTGGTCGCCATGGCCCCAGCTTAGACAACTTCCTGAGGAAAAGACCTATCATGCCTGAGCAGAAGAAACAGCCTTGCCCATATGGTGAGAACATTAAAGCATATAACAGAATAACATTGCATTTTATTTCTCAGTTAACATGTACTATTTGAGTTAATAAAAATCTGTTTTATAAAATCATCCAAGAAATGTTTTTCCTCTTATACCTTTTTAAGTACAAACAAATGCTCCACAAATGCCAATCTGACTGATAAAATGATGTATGTGTGTTGTTGGATTGTGCAGGTTACATATTATGTTGTATAATGTTTGTTGGGAGCTTCTGTATATTTATATTGGGATGAAACTGAGACCTTCTATCTATTTGCTCTAGGAAAGAAGTGCACTTACGGTCACAAGTGTAAGTACTACCACCCAGAAAGAGGTGCTCAGCCTCAGCGTGCCGTGGCTGATGAGCTGCGTGCCAGTGCCAAGACCTGTGTCACCACAAAGAACCAGGGGGACACTGGGCTGGTGAAGAGCCACAGTGTGCCAGCTGGCAGCATCGAGGCGAAAAAAGGCGCTCCAAAAAGGCAGTCGGACCCTAGCATCCGAGCTCTGTCCTACAGCGATGCTGAGGAGAAGCTGCTGGCCAAGGGAAGGGCAGAGAGCCAGAAGAGCACTATGTGTGGCAACAGCAGTAGCAGTAGTTGCAGTGGGAGTATTACCATGTCCCCAGCCCCAGGAGGCGGCCCTCCATCCAGTCTTAGCCTTCACCAGGAACAACAGTCCAGAGCAGCGACCCCTCATGGTCTACCAGCCCCCAGCCATGACCTTTACCCTCACTGTGAGTCTCCAGACTTAAGCTACTACTCAGTAACGCGTGCCTACTCTGGCCTGAGCCTCTCCTCCAGGCGGAGCCCAGACTGTCGTTTCCCCAATGACACAGACCTGCGGCTGGGCTCAATGGGCTCAGCGGGCTCCGAATGCGGCAGCGAAAGCAGCGTGAGTTGTGGTAGCAGCTGCGACTCGTACAGCGAGAGGCCGTGTCCCGGATGCCCCCAAGATACCTTGCTGGAAGACAGCGTCCATTTTGCTAATCCCCACAGCCGGCTGTATCCCCATCACGCCGCATCAAACCATGAACTTTGTGGCCTTCATCCTGCCGATTACACAAACATCCAACACAGCCACTCGTCTAATACCGGAATGCACAGCTACCACCTGAGTGTGGCGCGTGGGCAGAGCTGTGCTCACGATCAGCCTCCACCAGAGGCTCCCCCAAAGCGCCCTCTCTACCCCTTGCCCCCCCACCTCCAGCACCAACCGCTGGCTGCACGCTCCAGCTGCCCAGGTGACTACCACTCTCTGCCCCAGTCCAACCCTCACCCCCCTGGCTCCCCTCTTGGCCGCTGCCTGGCCCCCACACGAGCAGAGAGTGTGTCAGACTCACATCTGTACGAACACCACTCTACATCGCACCATCACCACCGAACCAAAGCTCTACCCAGCTGGGACACCTACTACAGACAGCCCCCGCTGCCGCCGTCCAGGTATGAGCCGTCTGCCTATCAGAGCCTGCCGGACACACGCCAGTCATCCTGGCACACCCCTCCCTGGGCACAGGACGGCTACACCCAGCACCACTCCTCTCACCCAGCTCTCCACCCATCCCCGACACATTATTTAAACCACCCGCCGCCTCCAGCCCACTCTCCTCACCCGCCTCATCCCTCCAGCACTGCTCTCCCGCCGTACCCGCCTCACAGCGCCCACCTTTCAGTTCCCTCCCACGCTCCTCCCCCCTCCTACATGCCGCAGCATCCAGAATCCCCCGCACACAGCCGCTACGGGGACGTGAGGGAGAAGGTGTACGTCAACCTGTGCAACATCTTCCCCTCGGAGCTTGTGAGCCGGGTGATGGCCAGGAGTCCCCACATCACAGACCCCCAGCAGCTGGCAGCAGCCATCCTTGCAGAGAAAGCCCAAACAGGCTACTGAGGAAGGAAGGAAGGAAGGAAGGAAGGAAGGAAAATGTAATCTCCCGTTAGAAAACAACAGCAGTTATGTAGTGTGGGTAGAAATAGGAAAATTTGCCTTTGCAACACTTGAAAGCACGTTGGGTTTGCAGGGTGGAATTTTAAATACCGGAATGCTTTTGGATTGTCTACGAGAAGAGCTTTTTCTTTTCTTATGACATTAATGAGACAATGCATAAGTTTCAAGAATATAAAATGCTGAAGATGATCCAAATCCAGCTCCGGTCACTGCGCAGCGACAACTAAATCAACTCAACTGTAAGAAGTGTGGAGAGAGCGAGTCATTTGACTTGAAATCTATGACTTTGACACAAAGTGCGACTTGTGGTGCCCAGTTATTCTTTTTTTATTTATTTAGTAGCTTATTATATGTTTGTTTCACATGAAGGACTTGTTACGCATCAAATTCAAAAGGCACTTTTTTTTTTTGTTTTACAGTCAAATCATAACCTAGTGAGTTGATATCACACACATCAAATATGACTGATATGAAGGATTATTTAATTAATATTGTCAGACAGTGTTTGATGGATGGGATGAAGAAAATGTCACAGATGAGTATTCAAACTTCATTTCAGATATTTCAGATCTTCTCAGTTTGTTACGTGGCAAATCCCCATCTGGTAGTCCATTATCACATGACGGTTCCAAACCACTATTTGACCGAGGTCTGTGTATTATATTAACCTCTGTGTGTGTTGTGTGGCCATTTGTGGGGCGTTTTTCCATGTTGATAAAAATGGGTGTCTGAAAGATTGTCGTCTTATTTGAGATGACGTCAGTATTTTGGTCCGAGTTGTAGCTGTAGAGATGGGTGACCCTGTCGTGTGTACCTTAGTTTTAGTAAGGGACATCTCTCTCTCTCTCTCTCTCTCTCTCTCTCTCTCTCTCTCTCTCTCTCTCTCTCTCTCTCTCTCTCTCTCTCTGGCCCTTTATTTTGGGTCAACTCTGGCATCTGCTACAGACAGAGAACATCTGGACATGGATAAATCAAACATGTATGTATTGTAAATATATTTAACAGATTCCCCTGCTGTGCTTTTGGCTAACAGCGTCTACTGTTGTCTGTAGCAGATCCCAGCTGAATCCATGCTAGACGGAGAAAAACCTTGTTTGATACAAATTGTATCATTAACTAAGTCGCTGATGTTATATACAGTACATGGACTTGTTGATCTGTATTTATCACAACACTCTTGATGTATTGCTATATGATGAAGTGCATTGACAACAGTTATGTTCCAATCGAGATGTTCCAACTTTTAATCTTGTGGAAATTGCTTTGAGACAATTATTTCACATATGTTATGAAACAGAAGGGGTTGTCTGCCTACTATGTTTAGGTATCACAACTTCTTTATCTGCGCTTTTGGGTTTGAAGCTGGCTTATTTTCTACAGGAGCTCCAGTTAAATCATGTGTGAGAAATATGCTTTGGTTTAATGGTTAACTCCCATTTGAACACAGAAGTGAAGTTTTTTCATGGTATGGGGGTCAGTTCATTTTTTAGCTTCTCTTTTAAGTCAGAAAGTAGATATCCTTTAAAGTAACATAAAATGTTAAGCCTGAAATAATAGAAAATGATATAACTAATCTATAAAATTGAGTGGACAGACCCCAACCATGTTTTAATAAGTACATTTTTATATTTGGGTTAGTCCCATATCCCATGGCGGCCATTTTGAACATCTGAAACACTACCCAAGCTCTACCTGGAGTATGTGCAGATATATAAAGCAATTTTTGCCCTTAACAAAAAGATGAGGTCTTCATAGAACCACAAATCATCCAGTCAGGAAAAAAATCTCAAGATTAAAAACTAAAGCTGCTTAAATGTAGCAGTGTAGCTAGCTAGCCTGCTAGCTGCTTTCCAGACACAAATGTTTTAAGTTTCTGTTTTTATGGAAAAACTTTCTTAAGCCACAGTGCGTTAAAGGGTGCTAACTTGAAATAAATTACATATAAACAAAGAAAATATTTTAAATTCACGACACTAAAGAAAAATTCTAACTGCTGAGGCTACCTGAGCACAAGCTAATGCTAACATTTCCTTGTATCATTACTTACCTCACGTGTTCGACCTCGATACATGGCAACACTGGCAGGACGTAGTTTGATTGTACTCGATCAGGTAGAGCCCAACCAAAGTGTAACGCAAGTTTAAAATGGCCGCCAAGGAATTTAAGTCTACAGAGTGAGCTCGTCATACAGTTCATCACAAGCCAGCTACATAAAGCCCACTGGTTTCTTTCCTTTCCAACGTGTCACATTGTACAAATAATGAATAATTGTACAATAACACGTGCTGTTGATGAGAGAACCTTTGTGTGTATTGAAGAAGCGCCTTCTCTCTGGCCTCCTGGCACTGTGTGTCAGTGTGGCACCGGAGCGTGGGCCCAAAGTAATGCCTCTTCATGGCATTGTGCTTATGACACATCCAATACTCTGAACTATGTTCAGCTAACTGTTATGCATGTTTTGATTTGTTTTGGTTTCTGCATGTTTCCTTGTGTTTAATTTGTGTACATAGCTGTGATTCTGTCCTGGATGTTTGTCTTGCCGTTACTGTGACATGATGCTAGCTGTTGAGATGCCTGTACACAAAACTTGTTTTTCTGCTCGTTAATGTTTTCTTGCATCAGTTAGTGTTGATTTCAGTGCACCTTCCTTTGACATTCAATATAAAGTCAAGTGGGAGTGCTATTTGGTTTTCTATAAGGTTGACATTTACTCTAAAATGATCAGGAAGCATGTTTTGGAACGCATCCCACTTTTCTCCAGCATTGTTTGCTTTGGAAGTGCACTCGGCCATAGATAGTGATAATGGAAACCATCATCAGTTATGATAAATTTACTTCTGTGCTGTAGATATTACAATGCTATACAGGCCAGTACACTCTGTTTGAAAATATATTTACATTTTGCCAGTAGAATACACAGTGTAACTAATTGATTATTGTAACATCACCTGTAACTGTTGTTGTTCATTAAAGAGAGTACTGCTATGAAACATGTATCTATTGACATTGTAGTAGTAGGCTTGTTTTAAGTGGCAATCCCAGTTTTAGTGCACACTACTACTACTACTTATTACAGTTAAAAAGAAAATGATTTTTTTAGGGTTTAAAATGTTAAAACCTGTTTTTTCCCTAGATTAAAATTAGAGCTGAAATTATTAGTCAGTTAATCAATTAGACAATTATTTTGATAATGTACTCATCTCTAATTTATTAAATAGTTTGCCTACCACATATGACAGTGAACTGACTTTTGGGGTTTTGAACTGGTGGTTGGACAAGACGATTCAAGATGCCATCACCCTTTTTTGACATTTCCTAGACAAAACAATCAATTGATAAATTGACAGTATAATTAATGAAAGAATAATTCTTAGTTGAGGTAATGACAAACGGATGTTTCTTAGCAACAGGGACACTAAAGTGAAAGCATGATAAATGGGTGTAAAGACAGAGATCCTTGGGGGGAAAAAAAGCCTTCTCCAGAGGGCACATGACCTCAGACCAGGGTAAGATTCACTTCTAGACAACAGTGTCAAGTCTTTAAGCCTGGACTTTAACCCCACTGATAATCTGCAGAAAGACCTAGAGATCAGTAGATCACAGTTCACTGAGGCACCCAACCAATCTGACAGGCTTAAAAGGACGAACTGGTTCAAATGGCAAAGTGGGATGACGAAACTTGAAGCCACCAGTGCACATACACTGAGAATGGACATTACAGTGAAGTAGGAGACATCTTGTGTCCATCAGGAAAACTTTAGAAATGAACACAATTTGCATATTCACAGATTCTGGAATTGTTAAGAGGTAAAAGGAGTAGATGAGTTTTTAAGGATTTTAATGTGGAAATTACACTTTTTGCATAAAAAAAACAAACATATCAGCTTATTATTTCTATATATGTTTTGATTTCTGGAGGGGATCTTTAACAAAAAATGTAAATGTATAGTATTTTATGATAGTAAACTAGATATTTTTGGCTCTGGACTGTTGGTTAGACAAATCCAAACACAGATAATACTTTGTGCTTTGGGATATTGTGATGGCAATCTTAATAATTTTGTCTATAAAATAAATATAAATCTATAAAAAAGTAATCTATAGATTCATTGATTACAAAAATTATGACCCTGCTATGGATGCAAATCTCAGGCAAAACACATAACACACACACAAAATTTAAAACTTTTATTTGTGAACCAATGAAATGGACTGCAATCCATCTGTGCCTCCTATCTTAAGAATACTAACATGAACATAAGGAAAAAAAACAAAAAAAGAAACGGCAAAACGTGACAGCTGGTGCCAGAGCAGGCATCATCACAGACGCTGGCTTCATCGGAGGGGACAGGCAGGCCAATGACATTCTGCTGTGAAGAGTCCAACTGAAGCCTTACAGCTTGAACACGGGGGGGAAGGGGGGGTTGGGGGTGTAGATGCGTCAAAAAGAGTTTTCCCCTCCGATGAAGCTGTCCGGTATAGCGATGCGTGTTGCTGGTTTAGGTTAGGTTAGGGTCTTTGAACACAATACAAAAATATGAGCTGGAAGCACAAGATCTTTTTTTTTTTTTTTTACCTCCTATGGCAAAACAACGCTAACAATGGACACTGTGAAGTTAAACACAAAAGGCAGGCTTCAGTGTCTTGTTTCATACAAGTGCTTTAACTTTAAAACTCTGACTATTAAAAAAATATCAACCCACACCAGCTGTCAAGTAAAGCGTAACAAATAATACCATTTACATTTTTCATCATGTTGTTCATAAAAAAAAAAAAAAAAAAAAAAAAAAGGAAAACTTCATGTCCACTCATTTCAAAAAAATGCACCCTGGAACATATTTTCCACCCCACGAAAGATGGAGTCAATTTGTTGTCTGTTAGATGAGAATTTTAGTGGGAAGAAATTGGCCTACTCTCCATTTGAATCGGGAGAGATTTTGTATCATAATAGCAAGGTCCCTTCACATTAAGACCAACTAAAAACTCTTCTCTTTACGTATTCACAAGTCTCTCTGCAAACGGTCTCTTTAAAGTGAAATTGTAACCGAAGAGACAAAGTTCTGAGCAGATGTTGAAGGCCATTTTAATAATTTTACACGAGAACCTTCTTTTAAACGAGCGTCGAGCTCTGTGAACAACCTGTGGCTCCTTAGAACCAAATGCCTCACAGGAAAATTCTCTGTATAAAAAAGTTAATTTCCATTCTGATATTTGCAGCATTATTTATTTATTTCACCTTCCTCATTGTTTGGGATATTTCTTTTTCTTTCTTGGACAGAATGAATGAAAACATCTGAGCAAGGCCAGGAGCGTGGAGATTATTATATAAAACTAGCTTTAAATGTAAGAAATAACACTTTTAGATCTCACTCAGGAGGTATGTTCTACATTGACCCTTAATGTTCTCTTGAAATCCTTAACCAACGTACAGCCACAAAGCAACTGGGCTCTGACCAAACGTAGCCTGCCCAGGAGCGCCACCCGAGAAAGTAACAGCGACCACCTAAAATCATGACTTTTTGTTTTTTTGGAGAGGGAGGGAAGGAGGGAGCACCCTTAGTGTGTGACTGTCAGTCACCACTGCTAACATTACTGAGGTAGAGATCTGTCCCGGGTCGAGGACTGATGTTTTCATAAGCTCCCCAGCCAGAGAGGTGCCAGGACTTGGCTTCCACACACGTACACACTCACACAACTGGACAGAAAGACAAACAGCCGGGACGTACGCTGATGCTCATCTATCTGTTCCTCTCGCTGTCCATTTAATACCCTGGGTTCCTTTGTGAGCTGGCAGGCAGAGAAAACCATCTATGGTGACTGGGAATGAAACACTGGGATGCATCTGGAGAACACACACACACACACACACACACACACACACACACACACACACACACACACACACACACACACACACACACACACACACACACACACACACACACACACACACACACACACACACACACACACACACACACACACACACACACACACACACACACAAATTAGCTTATCTTCATAACACTTTTAAGCTCGAGGGCCATAGCACAGTGGCACAAGCTCATTACGTGCTATCCTACCACCTGTGCATGTTTAAAAAAAAAAAAAAAAAAAAAAAACTTTCCCTTTGTTACCTTTTCTACATTCAATCATCAAAACCAAAGTTGGGTGGCTCTTTTCCCGATGTCATTCACAGAAAGGATTTCCATCAAAATCTGAAAATACTGCTATTTTTGATATTCAGCCTGAAATCAAAACTTTAACAATACTGCAGTGTCGTGTTTTTATCGAAGTGTAACATTCACATAAGTTTGAATTGATTGAATAGAGCTCAGCTCAGCTCTCTAATGACTCACAGATGCTAAGAGAATTAGCATAACTAGCTTGTGATATAGTTTGACATCATGTAAGGTAGCAGCGCTTTGACGCTGAATGAAAATACTGACTTAATTTATCCCCAAACTCCGGTATTTACTCGGAGTTCTGGGACTGAACCCAGCATCAATGTGTTCCACAGACAACTAAAAAGAAGGGCATCATCAATAAAACGAGTCAAACTAAAGCAGAGGGAAACAACTTAAAAACAAGGAGAGGACACGGTAGATTGAAGACCTATACTAAACCTTTACATACAAGTCATCAAGCAAAACAAAAAAAAAAACAAAAAAAACAAAAGTAGCTTGCTATGGCCATGTTTGCTCAAAATAAAAAATCCAATTGTTTTCATTTTGGTTTTACAGTTTCTCTTAAGGATTACAGAATCTCTGCTTTACAACGATCTTTGCTTGTTCAGAGTGGCGTGTAGGCAGCTCCAAATGAAGGGAGATATCCGTAACTTTCAGAGTGGAGATGTGGGGCGGGGCTTTGGCAGTTTTTGACAAGATGATTTCTCAGGATTGCCTTGTGGGCGTTGAGGGGGACTTGGTGGGATTACAAGGACGGCAGCATCTGTTGTCCATGAAAGTTGAGCGGCTGCTGAGGGGAAAGTTCGGGAGCAGACACCCCTGAGGGAAAGATGGGCGAGGGGACAGGGGTGCCGTTTCTCACATGGACTCAAACTCATCGATGCGCTGCTTCGTGTTGCCCGATCGGATCTGGCGCAGCGTTTTGTATTTGTCACGGCCTGCTTTCACGTTCTCGGCGTGGAGCACATCGTTCTGCGTCTTCTTGGTTTCGTCTCTGGCCTCGGCCAACTCTGAACTTAACGTCTGAGAGATCAAAGAAAAGGGAGGATGAGAGGGTGATGGGGAGGGAGGGAAAATACGAGAAAACGCGAAGAATAGAAAAAGAAAGGGAAAACAACAGTGGGGCAATGGAGGGGCGTAGAAGTTGCAGAGAAGAAGAAACAGGAAACAAGTGCAGAAGACAAAAAGAAGAGGAAAATATGCATCAATCATTTTAAAAGCTAACATCTGATTGACGCGAAGCAACAAAACGTATCTTATCTATGTGTGTCAACATAAATCCTTCCAATCAGGTGCAACTTCAGATACACCCTGAAGCAGCGGTCTGCAGTTACAGTACAGGTTTGGCCCAGGCCTGTTTTTTGAGAACTTTTTCTTGCAGGCTAACAGGTGCAGTGCATACACGGACCCGTATGCGAACTCTTTTTGTTTGATATTTGTTTTTAAGGTTAATAAAACTCTTTTGTTGATGTTTGAACTCTTCTTGCCATAGCTTCAGTACAAGTCCTGGTCTATACAGTAGCCCAGCTTAGATCTACAGCCTCTGTAATATATCTAAAAAATGATATGAATAGATTTGATATAACCAGTTTGTTCAATTCATTACCAGTAGGTCTGCTTTAAAGCCAGGCTACAGTCTAAGCCAGCACACCTACTCCTGTTAAAAGCAGGAGTTTAAAGAAGAATGGACAGAGAAGTATGCCTTATCTTACCCTTATTTGCCATTTCTTGGCTGGTGTTTCCTGCTGTTAGAAAATAATATAATCTTGTTGTTATTTGTGTTTTGGAGACGCAAATGTCTTTTGGTTAAATAAAAGTGATGAACTAAAGAGATATATATTCTTTAAATATTTAATTCTTTAATTCTTTAAATGTTTTTAAAAATGTTTTATTCATCTGGGAAGTTCTAGACCTCCTGTCAAAAGCAGGTCGCTCTCCACATGGGAAGCATTTATTAGATGATGTTCTGATGTCATTTTCTTAAAGATTTAAATGAATTTAACTTAAAGTGACAGAGTTCATTTGACCTTGAGAAAAGTAGCTCTCAGGGATGTCATTTTGTCAAGGATATCTGACCCACAGGCAGCCATTTTACAACCCGACCCTAAAAAGGTTTTCACCCCTCACTCTTACCTGCAGCTGTTGTTTGACCCTCTCATTCTTCTGGGCCTCAGTGACACGCGCCTCTTCACTGCGGAGGTCTAGCTGGCTGACGCCCTCGTTGGAGAGCTCGGCGCTGGCCTCCGCGTGGTTCTCATCCTGCTCGTCGTGCTCATTCTCAGCGTTGCCGCCGGGAGGCACCGGCACCACTGTCATTGCGGTCTTCAGCTCCTCCTTGGTCTTCTCCAGGTCCTCCTGTGCTGACAGGGCCTGCAGGTGAGGGCACGGGGAAAGCGTAAGACAGATATATATACTGGATTCACAGCAGACAGGTGACCTGCTGCCGACAACACTGCGTGGCCCACATGGTATTCTATGGAATGAGGTATACTCAAAATAGTATGAAGTCTAACTTCAATTTTTCTATACATCAACTGGCTCATTAATGTCTGACATGTGTATTTGTTTCTAAAAATAAACTCTTACTCAATGCTTTCTAGCCTATGGAAATCTTTTCTAATTTAACATGAGGTTTTGCATTGATGTATCACTATAATTTAAATGTTTCCACTAAAAACAAACTCAACACAAATGTTGTTGAAATTTGATTCAGCCAACAGTTGGTTAGTTTATGTAAGCCCTTTCTGAACACTAATATTTAAAATGTATTAGGGATGTTTGTATTTGTAGTTTCCATTTTGTATGTTTAGTGGGTGTGGTTTTCAAATACTCCATTACAGGTTTCTACCATACCCTGACACGTACTTTAATATTTCTTTGATGTTTTTTGTATTTATGCATAGGAAACAAGAAAAAGGCAGTGCAGTTCCTCTGAATAGCTGCAAGTCCCCGTTACAGTGGGTGAAGGCACCCGCAGTGTGTATGTTACAAACACCTTAAGGTGAATAACCAATGAAGCCAGTGTTCGCTCATGTAGGACCAGAGGAGAGGAGACCTGTACCTTGTGCTGCCATTCTGTGGCCTCTTCGTCTTTCTTCTTCTTGGCTTCTTCCAGGAGAACAATCTTGGCTGTGAATTCAGCCAGTTCAGAAGCCTGGGATAAAACAGACCCTGCTATTACACGTATTTTACATTTAAAAACAACAAGAATGTACTCCAGATTATGTTAAAAACCGAAATAACCAAACTTAACCAGCCAGTAATTGCTCACACTGTCAGTTAAAACAAACACGTACCAGTTGCTCCTGGGTCTTCTGCTGGTCTGCAGCCTGTCTGGCCAGCTCTGCCTTGGCCTCCTCAGCAACCTGCCTCTCTCTCTCCAGTCTCTCGGCCTCCTCCCTCGCCCGCTTTCTCTCCTGCTCCAGCTCCATGGCCAGGCGAGTCTGCTCCTCAAGCTCTGTGGAAGGGCAGACGCAGTCTCATTACACATTTCTATCACACATACAGTGTGATCTCTGCTGATAGTGACTGCTGAGGTCAGATACAGTTGATTCAGGCACATAAGTCTGAACTGAGGGTTTATTTCCAAATACATACAGAAGTATAACTTGCTCATAATGTCTGACCTGTGTTGTACAAGTATTGATGCATTATTATTCCTAAATATGGCATCGACATGGTACTAGGGAAAGCCCTGTCTGTCTGAATAAATAAAAACCAGAGAAATGAAAAATATGGCTTCAATCAACTTTATAGTTCATTCTAGTTTTACAAATAGACATAACTGGCCTCAGTCACACCCCAGAAAGAATTCTTTAATTTGACACAAGGAGGACAGAGGGGGGCAGCAGTGAACAGATAGATAAAAAGTAAAACAGGTACCTTTCTGAGCTCTCATCGTCTGCTCTTCAATCTGTCTCAGCCTCTCCATGAGCTCGTCCTTCTCACGCTCTATCCTCTCCTTCTCTTTCTCCGCATACTCGCGCTTTTTCTTCTCATTCTCCAGCTGAGCCCTGGGAAGTTTCGCAAGTACAAGTTTCAGATTACTTGGGTTTTACTCTACGATAGTAACAAATATAGAGAAACATAGTAAATCTTTCTTGTCCTGCAACTCATCTGAAGCTGCAGCACCTTTAACTGAATAAAATACTCTGGCATTCAGATAACGTATGTAAAAGAGGTAACACTGCCCTCCAGTGGGGAAACTGTCAGCTAATTTTTGACTTCAATACCCAAGTGTCTTTGTACATATATTTATGTATTGTCAAAAGTCAGTGAAGTGGGAGGTTAATTCCCTTTGCCAGTGATGAGAATTGCTTAAAATTACCATGTGATGTTTGAATGACTGTCACTAATTTTAGCTCAACTGGAAATATTGCTTTAAATATATGAAGTTATGAAGCTAAGCTTTGAAAGCTATAAAGTTCAAAAAAGTCTTAATGTATATGATCTTTTGAGCCTTTGGAGTATTTGAATTTCTTTGCAAGCTTTTCTCTGATCTTAGGAACAACATAACATGGCTGTGAGTGTTCCTCTGCAGTACCTCTCCATCTGTTTGTGGTGCTTCTCCTCCCGGGCCTGAGCCTTCATCTGCTGCACCTCGATGGTGTCGGGCTTTCTCCTCCTCATGTACAACTCGTGGTTACCCATACACAATGCCAAGATGCGCTTGTTGATGCGCAGTCGTGGGGCATAGAACACAAAGTCCTACATGTTTTTAAAAATAAGAAAGGGGTTAGATAAAGTCAAATATCTCTTGCCTTTTCTATACGTTTGATGAATTTGACACTCACAGGTGCTTTCTTGTCAATAGGTTTGATGACAAACTTCTTGTCATTGAAAGAGATGTTTCGAATCTCACTCCAGGGGAAGCCAATCTTTGGTGTCAACCTGAAAAAAGAAATGTCCAAAAGTGGCAATTTACACTTTAAACATTTGAACTCATAACACACAGTACAGGATCTTACACACTTGTTGGGAGTGTTTTATAACATTCAGCCAGCAGATGGTGCCTAGCATAAGCAGACCTCTTTACAGGATATCAGGAGATACTTTCGTTTACGTTTCAATCTTCAATTTCATTTTTTTTTTTCAGTTAAGTGGTTAAGAATAGTGACAGGAAATAGGAGGTGGATAAAACTGAAAATATCTCTTCCTGCCAAGTATGAAAAGGATGGTGGGTGTTCTCTGTTCAAGAAGGAAAAAATAGGAAGAAAGGAAAAGGGATAAAGTGATACTGAGGAGGTTGATGCCTCAGGAGAGATAAAAGAACTATCCCTTATTTCCTTCCTTTGTCACCTGGACAAGAGGAGGAGGATAGCAGTTGAGATGACCTAAGATAACGGACAAGAAGGGAAAAGCAGTGAGAGGAAATGCTACAGGAGTTGTGATTAGATCTATCCCTCCACAAAAGGGGAAAAGAAATCTCTGACCAGAGGACAGGAAAGACTCTCCAACAATAGACAGACGTTGTCTTCCTTTCCCCACCTCTCCCTCAGTTTTCCATTCGAAATAGAGCTTTGCTTCCTCAAAACTGGAATTGTGCATCTCATGTTGGCATCCAACCTCTCATAAAGTGAGAAAATAGTAGAGGTGGCCTGACTGATTTATGTAATAAGTTAAGATCAGAAAACAAGAAAATACGGTACAGAAATGCTAAAGATTCATCTGAGGTAGTTTTGAAACAGTGTCACTATTACATTGTTAGTCCACAAGGATGCACTGGATCTTGCTTTACTGACAGTAACTGCCGGACCAGCTCTGTGGACACTAAATAAAGAGTATTTATTGGCAAATGGATCTACTGCAGTCTGGCTTGTGAACACATTCACAGTACTGATTCTAGTTGTTTCCAAAGATTCAGCCTTGCACCAAAATATGTGTCATAACTCAAATTAACAATGTCAAAGCTAAACAGCCAGTTGTTTACAAGTCTGATCTATACAGTTTCAAGTGCTTACAGTATGTGCTCTGCTGTCATAACAGAAAGAGCCTTCACAGAACCCACGTAAATATCCCTGTCCTTTGGGCATTGGATGACTTAAGTCCTTGAAAATCTATTGAACATATTAAAAGCCCAAATTCTGAAAAGCTCCAGCCAAAGACACAAGCTGAAAGAAACATTATGTTGTTTATTTAAAATCTCAACAGTCTAAATGCTGGAGTTACTGCAATGTTTCCAACTAGTGCTTCACTATACAATAAAATGTTGTGAGCTAAGAGCTGATAATAGTAATTTCAACTTTGTGCAAAATCTGATAATCTTTCAGAACAAATCCAAGTTATTTTACATGTTATTTGCTAACAAATCCGACATAAGGCTCTGGCTCTGATCTTGTGAGACACAGCAGGTATAACAGACACCGTTATGACGACATGCGTTGACACACATCGGTTGTGACATGCTGTGTCATAAGCCTCCACCTACTCATTTGTCCTCATGCCTGCTGCTGTTTAGTAATCATCTGCAAACCACAGCTTTGAGCCCCTTGCAAGCGCCTGTCTGTATGTGCATTGATCCATACCAAAACACCACACATCTATTTTGGGAAATAAAGTGGTATCTGAAAGCTGAGGTGTTTAGCCTTAATGATAATCTCCAAGAGTCTTCACTGTCAGGCCAACAATGCAATATTTTATAGGATTAGGCTGAATTGGACTTTTTCCCCAGAACTCTTTTGTAAATGAAAATAACAACAAATCTGTGTGTGTGTGTGTGTGTGTGTGTGTGTGCGCGCGCCCTTACTTGTCTTCGTGTTCATAAATGTTGAGGCCAAGAGCATCCACGCCCAGCCACAGCTGTGTGCCCTTCTTGTTTTTGATCTCAAAGTAGTTGACTCCGTACATCTCTAAGTCCTGGGCGATTTTAAGATATTCCATCATAGAGTCCTCTCTAGAGAAAAAGGAAAAGCAGGAAGATTATATATAATATATGTTTTATTAGATAATGTCCACAATGTAACGTTACATCAGTAAAACAGAATCCAATCTGTGTCTGACCACAATCACATCACACATTCCAATAACAGTAGGTAACACTCTCAGACAATCACATTTAGTTCGACATCCGAACATGACACAACAAGCCTAAAGGCGAACACTCAGATACAAATGTTCTGTGTCTCTCAGGGGGTTTTAAGTAAAGAATGTGATGAGGAAAGTTTGACACATACCTGAGCATTCCTCTGTGTTCTTCGTGCCAAGTCTGTATCCTGTCCTCCCACTGCTCCTTGGTCAGCTTGTGCTGCTCCAGGACTCTGTGCACACAAACACAGACACAATGACTTCACCTGATGGGATGTTGAAACGCACAGAATTGTTTCCTCGAGAGGAAATGATTGAAAATTCCAACAGTGAGCGAGAGGCATTCCAGGTTTCAACGGATGTAGACTGTGCGTGGAAAATCAAGGGACACCTCCCACACATCCAGTCACTTTGGCTCACAACAGAAATATTTAGGTTGTGACATTATTTGTGTGTGTACCTCTGAGGCAGCAGTCTGTCATGGGTAAGGTACCCAGGCTTGTGCACATCTTTGTTGTAGTCTCCATACTTGGCTTGGACAGCGTATGACCCCAGTAACACAGCTGTCTCTGGGGGACAGTAGTTTTCATCGTTCAGGATGGCCTCCTTCACCTGGCAAAACAGGAGGGAGTGAAGGAGTTAACAAATGGAACAGATTTCATTTATTCAACACTCCTAATTTTTTGCTTTTAACTATTTCTACGTAAAATCTACTGTTTGCTTCTTACTCTCATGTGCTGTCAGCTAACCTTGTAACATTAAAACATCACCCTGACGCCATTTATCCTGTGTGAGGATGTAATCAGTGTGTGCCAGTGCAGTAAACGCAAAAGGTTTTTAACGCTTCACTGAGGTGGAAAAGTTGTTGCATCATTAAAAACAAAATGCAATAAAGTGCAATGAAAACAGAGTTTGTGAATAAGTCATCTACTAAAAGACTCTTTTGCACTACTGCCATATTTAAATATCCTTTGCATTGACCTACAGAACTTTCCTCTTACACTACTGCCATGTTTACAATGCCTTTTGCAAAGCTTTATTACATCATTCAAGCATGCACTATCCCATTTATTCAAGTTGTACATGTTGTTTTTTGTCTTTAAATATATATGTATGTCTCTATATGCCTTCCCCCTTTTATTTTTCTTTGCACTGTCTTGGTGAACCTGCAGCCTTCCTTTTTGATTACATAAGTGCCTGCACATTGTGATAATAAAGTTGAATATTTGCATTTATTTTTATGCATTGATTGTTTTGTGTACTCCTATCCGTTTCTTCTATTTTTATTCTTTCTTTGCTATTCACATTACTTACATGTCATGACGATGTCTCACATCAAATAAAGTTATTACTCTTTTTTTTTACTTTGCATTTCAGTACTGAATGGAAACAATCATCAATTTGCATTTCCCGATTTGCTGGAATTTCGGTTCCTATTTGCACTCCATTTGAATGGAAACTTGACTAGTGAGTGGCTTGTTACCTGCAGGAAGAAGAGTCTCTGGGTGATCTCCTGGATTAGTTCTTCTGAGACATCCTCAGGGAAGAACTTGGCTCTGAACTTAAACTGCAGAGGGTTCTCTTTCTTCACATCCTGCTGGGTCACCTGGACAATAAAGAAAACATCACCATCTATCTGATCAACAGATCATAAAGTCAGTATCACAGCTACATCACAGTGAAGGGCCTGGAAGGAAGAACAAGTCACAACAATGTTGGTATGTTGCAGTGTGAATTGTGCTGATTTTGCATCATCCCTTTCATCATGTCCTTTAAATAGATATCAAAGCACATTAAGGGACTGTGTTAAACAAGCATATTCATCACATAACACTTGTCACTGTAAGTCAAAAGATCTTTTGATATCTGGGAACATGTGCTTCTGGGCTTGGCTGTGCATACTGTATGTGCACACACACAAAATAGTTTCCACTGGAGCTCCGCTTGTTAGAAGAAACACACACGGGTTTACTGCACAATGTTAGGGGGATTTTTCCTCACATTTGTCTGAATCCCCTGCCTCTCTTTCTGTCTCTGTCTCAAACACACTTGAAGAGTGAGAGAGGAAATGTCTGTCATGCAAACAAACAGACAGATACACTGTAATAGCAGGGGTGTTAAGGCTGGAGGGTGTGTTGGCCAGAGTGAGAGAGGAAGCCTGTTAAAAGAGCACATCTGATGCTCCAGACCACAGCAGAGCTTCTGGGAAAATCCCAGACAAACAACAGACACTGACTGGAAGAAAGACACAAATAAAGTGTGAAAGAAAGTGAAAGAAAAAGCAAAGAACTAAAAAGTGGGGGAGGCAGAGAGCAAGTAAAAAGGAAGAAGACAGTAGAAGAGCAGGCATGTAAATTAAAAAACTGTGTGTTTTGGTTTATTACATAGGAGAAGGTTAAAGCAAAGGAAGACTGACCTTCTTGTTGAGTTTGAGCCAGGTGATATAGCCTTTACTGTCCACATACTGCAGGCCAAAGAACCAGACCTCCCGCAGTCCCACCGTCTTCACCACCTGAGAATAAAACACAATGTTTATTTACCTTAATAGTGAACAGTATAGGTGGTGACATGCCTGAAAGGACCCCAGCCTGAATTGAACCAGGGACATTATGGTTATGTAGTAAGTGTCTTATCCAGGATAAGCAGTTATCCAGAACACGTACATACATCCTTTTAGCAGATGATGTTCACAATAAATGAGATGATAACCAACAACACTAGTAGCCTCTGCTGATTTTTACATTTGTTTTAAAAACGTGTGACTCGAAGACACCCAGCTCCTTTTTTAGATGGACAGTGAACGGGTCATTTAGAAGGTTGTTGGACAGCTGCAAAAGTCCAAACTGCTTCCCTATCAGTTTGAAAAAGGGTTGATGTTCAAAGGGAGGCACAGCATAAAAATAAATCTTGTAACTGAACTTTGTTTAGCTTTAACACTCAACTTGTGCATGTCACATTTGGTATCACATTTTCTTCCTAACATGCAGCAGTCTGCAGTTTCAAGTGTTTTTGTGTAGATGCTCCTTAGGGGCCACACACACACACACACACACACACACACACACACACACACACACACACACACACACACACACACACACACACACACACACACACACACACACACACACACACACACACACACACACACACACACACACACACACACACACACACACACACACACACACACACACACACACCCTTTGTGGTGCGGATGGATTTCTTTGTGGAAAAATGGACCATAGACTAGCTTGTTTTTTTGTTGTGTGTTCGTGTAAAAATGATGTGCTCTAACATTATTGTTTTCAGGTAATTTCTAAAAAGTTCTCTCAAATTGGAAGGCAAACAGCAAAGGTAAATCCCAAGTTAGTGCACCCAACATGTCTGTTGTAATGCATTACTGAATATAAAAAAAAAAACTAAGGTAAATACAGTAGGTACAAAAAGTCAACTTCTGACACCAAACAGTGACTTAAACATATTTTTTGAAAGCAGTAACCAGTCGACATTCATGGTTATGTCATTCCTGCTCACCTGGTCAAAGAGCTGTTTTCCTGTGGTATTAGGTTGGATGGCAAACTCCAGCTCTGCATCCATGGTGGTCACACGTACGTTGATCTAGAAAACACACAGGTTTACTTTGTTTGCCATATTACTCAGACAAAGATTTTTACATTGAAACTTTAGATAAAGCAACGCTGCCTCATTGTTCTTACTACAAATGTCACAACAATACCATTTTCTACTGTGGAAAAATTCTAAATAAGCTTTACAGCATTTTATTAAAACCAGTAAGTGGAATATGCCTGAGACAACTTCTACCACCATACATACAGCTTATTAATATTAACACCTTTCTTTCTAATCTCGACTAAATGTCCACTAATCTCCATCATCAATCAGGCAACGTTACTTGCAGCAAAGTCAGTTTTATTTTTAGCTGTTCCTCGAGGTGCAGTTCAGTTTTTGTTAATGCAAACTTAGTGCTTCACAATTATAGCGGTCCACTGACCATTTTAAGGATTTTTTGAGGAGATGGAGTAGCCTGTGGCTTTTTTTGTAGCTTCAGTAAACAACATAAAAAGAGGTTCACATAAATATATGGACAAATAAGCAGTTTCTGTAAGCAGTTCTCCATTTTGCAGGGAGGAATGGTAAACGAAGAAAACCCCACAGTGGTCCTGTTAGACAAAGAGTGACAGACCACAGGTTCAGGTAGAGCTCTGAAAACCAAATGACCGTGAAACCACACAACCTTGTCAACAATGTAGTCATAGCAAGCCAAACTGCTTACATGTTTCTTTTAAAAACAGAACTCCTGTGGCCTACTGTTTAAGATGAGTAACACGTAACTGTTCGATTTAAACCGAGGACCTTTGTTACGTTCTCTCTCCCTATGTTTCCTGTTTGTATCTTTCATATCTGAGGTAGCAATGAGAGCCGTCTGTGCTTAATTCTGACATTATTCACTCTCAGGGCTCCCAATCTTTTTTCAAGTTTTTCTTGACAATATAAGACTGCACTTGCTCACAATGGTGGTCAGCGTTTATGGCACACTGTGTTAGCTTGCTTTCGTGGTGCACTTAGCTGTTCTCACCATATCCTATATTTCCGCTTCTCGCTTTTCTTGAGCGATCATAAATAACAGATAAAATCAAGTAGAATTTATTTTATTTTACAGAAAATGAATTAGCCTATTAAAAGAAGAGGTAGGGAGTGTTGTACAATTAACAATTATCAACCACAACAACAAATGTAAACGTGATCATTAATAAGCTGTATTCATGTAGATGTGACTGTCTACAGCATTTCCAAAATAGAGTTGACACCATTTGTTGTTTGGTTTGTTGTTTGGCTCTTAATTGACATGAGAGCAGAAATTAAATAGGAGCATTCTCCAGTTACGTCTTGGTTCTGAGAAACCTGCTTTTTAAGTGTCATAGCATGCAGATTATCCTACCAACAGTTGAGTTTCAAACAATAACAATGTTTCAATGTAGATTATTTGATAATTTTAATCAATTTCCAGGTGTTTCAATGACTGGAAAACTGGGGTCCAATTTTTCAAGACATGTGGGAACCCTGACTCTGATGTCTGTTAAAAATAATATATACTGTAGGATGTGGTACATGGCATGTATGCAGCAACACATCTGACAATGTATAACATGATGCGGTCTAACTCTTCCTCAGTCCAGCAACCATCTTCCAGGAAATTATAGACTTCCTACAGAAGAGAATGGAAGAATGTTTGCTCAGTATGTCAGCAATGTGTCAATTTCCCTCAATCCTAGCCCACGTTTAGTAAAAAGACTGTAAACGTGTGCGTCTCTCCCCCTTTCCCTCTTTCCATCCTACACTGCCAGGGTGAGTAAGCCCCGCCTTTCAAGGCAGCCTACTACTCGGGCCTCTGTTGGGGTGGTGCAGAGGATAAAACTCAGTCATTGGCTGTGCCCTGTTAAGTGGCACTGGCAGTAGGCCTAGCAGCAGCTGATGGCACAGAAGAGGGCAGGGGGGCTGATCTCAGAGGCATCTGACATCTTTCCTCCCACACCTTCACACACAAACACACACACTATGCTGTGTGTTGCCTCAGTAGTGGTTAACAACACGAGAAGAGAGAGGGAGGGCAGGGCACGGTACAGAGGAAGGCGAGACGCAAAATGAGAGGCTGAGTGCAAAAGCAAAAAGTTTTGCAAGAGTGCAAGAAAGAAGAAAGAAAAAAGGGAGGGAGACAGAGCGCAACAGGAAGAAAGAGAGATGATCTAGGGTGTACTCCCTTTGAGATTGAGTTACAGCGAGGTTACTGTAGAGGAGCCAAACATACAAAAAAGGAGGGAAAGAAGAAGCAACACAGAAAGAAGAAACTGAGGAAAAGAAACGTCCATTTCCTCTGGGCCATTATACACAAAACCTCAGGAACGCTTACTTTGCATTTCCCTCTCTCTCCTCCCAACATCTCTTCACTGCCTCTTCTGTCTCCATCCCTCCCTGTTTCTCTCAATATCGCTGCAATGAATAATCCATGAAACTTGTGTCTATACAGCACATAGCTTGACTCCCCCATGCCACATGGAGCTCAGACCACAATGTATCTGCCTCTGTCTCCCTCTCATTAATTACCCATGAAAAGTTGCAGCACTTTCTCCACACTATAGACATCCCACATGAACACTCCTGCATGGCCTACACCATTACTGTAATGTGCGACAGTCCATTTATATAACATTACTTTAAAAAGAGACTAAACCGTATCCCACATGTTAATAATCTAACCTGCTTAAGGCCAGGCTTTATTTTGGTTGGAAAATGTGGGCAGCTTCCCAGAGAAAGATTAAGTCTTAAGTGACTAAACGATTGTATTTTGCCTTCAGTCAGGGTCACTTTTCAATTGATTCGGTTGCTGCATTACAGCAAACATTATGTGCTTTTAAAGACCAAATCTCTCTGGCACACTTGTTGCCAATGTGTCTTTCAATGAAGATTCCACACAGAGAGGCACTTTATTTTTAGTCCACATCAAGACCAGGGCTTAATCCCTGATCCTTGTCTGGGAAATCAACCCACTTCGTAATACATGCCAGTTATCTGCAGGGGAGGAAAAAGACACGAGTTCAGTGTGTAGTGCAGGACTGGAGTCGATAATCTCTAATGATATGAGTCCGTACAAATTTTTCTGGGTGAAACTAACTTTTCATATCAGTTAACATTATTTTCAATGCTTAAATTGTTTTGTCACAAAATCATTTATTTTAATGTGTGGAGTGGACACCGTTGTTACTCACTCTCAAATGAGAATGCCTGTATGCTGCTGAGACTGCATAGTTCCACTCTATGCTTTATGAATGTGACTGTACACCAATGACACAGACATCCAATAACATTAGCTGCTTATTACAACACAGCGCTGTCAACATCGTTTCAATGAGGATGCTGAGGATATGGTTACATTACAGAACATGAGCTACTGCTACCTAATAAAACCCACTGCTGACTCCGGTTAGTTTTGCTTAGATGCAGACACTTAAACGGACTCATATTACATATAACAGATTCATGTTACTCAGATCATCAACCAAATAACCAAAACAAACAAATGTGAAAAACTATTCAACAAGAATCCAACAATGTGAAGTTCCATCAGAAGCTACAATAAAAAGGTCACGACTGCAGTTGCATGAGGTCACTCATTCAACCAAGACGAAGTACTTCTCAGAAAATCAGTTTGCAGACGTGGTAAATGTTCACACGTCCACCCTTCTCTTTTTACGCTACGCATGTCCTGCACACACAGTATGATACGATTGCACTTTGGCAATGAATACATTCTGCAAAATGGTCTTTCACGTATTCCTTACTCATTGTTTACTCCATGTCTGTGGGGTAGGGGAGTAAAGAGACTGTGGCCCTTTGCTCCTCTGGAAAAAAAAAAACAATCTTTGATGAGTCATTGAAAAGTTACAGCTGCCACAGGACAAGCAAACACTTGATTTATTGCCATGTTACGGAGAAGATGGAGATCTTGCAAAAATGTCTGATTTAGAGTTTTCTCAGACAACATAGTGCAATAATAGCATTTAACTTTACTCTTCTCATCCCATAGAATTTTGTCCTCACTGGCCTTTCACCAACTAAAACAGACCTGCACTTAGTCATCTTGGCTCAGCACCTGGGCAAATCTTAATCTACTCTTGCAAGTGCACAAAGCAAGCCCTTGATGAAAGCCACATCGGCAAAATAACCTGTTCATGGTTCACTGACAGATTAAGACTCTGTGTTGGTTTCAAGAGTAGCTGCCTCATTGACTCTCTGAGGCGGGAGTAGTTCTGGAGAATGTAGTGCTGAGCTGGGGTTTCCAAGTGACCGGCCTTGAATGTCCCTTCCCCTGCATTTGTGTGGGGCCCGCCTTTGTGTGTCTGTCTCACTGCCAAAACATGGCCAACCCACAGAGCAGAAAGAGGTAGAATCCTGTATGGACCAGACGGTCAGCTAATCCTCTCTCTCCTGCACAGAGAGGGGGGAGAGGGACAACAACATGCCGAGGCACTGACAAAGCTAATCACATACTCTGACAACAGAGAAGTCTTGAAGGAGCGACTTTTGCAAGCCTGTCCTCATATGACACCGCCTGTTTAGTGACACTAGACACACTGACTGGGCAACATGACAGTTCTTAAAAGACCCAATTACTGTCTTTAAAGAGAGTGAGACCAGTTAGAGTTAGAAGTAAGAGTTAGACCAGCAGTAAAGCCCTCAGCACTCCTCAACGAGTTCGCAGATTTGCCCGACTTTGTAGGTAAAAAAGCATCTATACTACCTGTAAATTCAGGTGTCTCTGTTTAATGCTGCAACGCCATATGATTAAGCCTGCAAAGTATGATGTGATGTTACTAAAAGCAAGAGGTTAACCTTTAAAGTAGCGTAAAGCCACTTGATGCGGCTGAGTCATATTCCCGTTAGGGCATTGGTCCAACACATCTCCATCGTGGTTCCAGTGTCTGGAGGTTTTGGAGCTTGGAACGGTTTCAGAATCACTGCGTCTAAAGAAGCCTGTTCTCTTCAGCAGCCACATTTTCTAGCTTTCAGTTTCTTTGCCTACGTTTTTTTTTACTCAATACACTTTTGAAGCTCATTTTGTAATTTACTGTTTAAATACAGACCCCCCCCCCCCCCTCTATCTGTATTTCCTGAATAGTGCATTAGCAGAAGGAAAAGCATCCTCTCTTTTGCTCTCCTCACTTGCTACTAAGTTAAAAACAAGAGATACTAGTTTTGCTGTGTATGTGTTAACACAAAGTCAGTATCAAGTGAAATGCATCATTAGATATTAAAGATTGCCTCAAGACACGTATCACATATCATTATCTACTCCTACCTCCTAGTTTCTACATCATACTTGTATAAGTTGCACACTGGACCAGGGTTGACTTCCAAACTATTTGTGATGTCATGAATTATACTCGTGGCCCCGCACCTTAAGGTTTTCTAAACTTTCCTCTTTCAGCAGATGAATGTGAAAACATCCTTCTAGTGTCAAACTAGTGTCTAGTATCAGTGAAGATCAAACATCACACTGTAGGAACGACTAGAAAAGCAGATTTTTGAGCGGAGAAGTTAATGGTCAATAACTTTGGTATTTAAATACATTTCGCAAAGTGAATTCCTTGCTTCAGAGACACAAGCTCCTCCGGCAAAAACAGACCGACAAGTAAAGACAGTGTAGGAGAGAGAAGAGCTTTTCATGAGCTATGAGTGAGACACTTTGTTCGCACCCCCGGTGAATATTGTCGCAGTTGCTAGAATGGCAGTGGGTTGTCTCTGGCAGTCGCACCAGAGTCAAAACGTGACACAGCTGCATCCGGTGGACACTGTTGCTAACGCCATGTCCATCTCTAATCACATGACACTGAGGCCCAGTAGCAGGCGATGAAGTTATGACAAGACTACTGAGGTGTTGACTTGTTTGCATTTTCTGTGCTTTTACTGGTTTGTTTGCGGTTCATTATTTTCCACCTTCCTGTACACAGATAACAGTTTAATAGGAGGACTATTTTCAACTATGCGTCTCCTCCCATCTTGTACATAACACTATAATTTGCTATCCCTCCTTCATGTGCAGTGTCACTAGGAAGACCTCACGTTGCAGTGAGTATAGTTCACGGTAGCACTAAGGCACTGACTTGATAAGCAAGTGCAACAAATGAGGCCAACAAACATGAAAGGCCAATGAGCATCTCAGTGAGTCTCATTTACATTTTTTGGCTTTTCTTTCTGTGTATGCTTCTGGGACGTTTCCAAATCCCCCTCTCCATTTCAATTGTGAAGACGAGTTCCCACTCAGACGGGCCCCTTGTTAAATGTGCAGCTGTTTAGTTACTGTAAGCTGTTAAGAGGAGCTTTGCTGAGAGAGGCCTTAAGAGAGACAGACACACACACACTTCATCAGTAGAGCTCCTAATCTGGCCTGCTGGGCTCTGAGCAGCTGTCTGTCCCTCTGATTAACCCCCCTGCAGGGTGAGGCAGGCTTTCGGAGGGAGGGAGGAATGGAAGGAGGAGTGAGAGCGGAGGAGGAATCATTGCTACCTTCAAACACAAACATTCATCCTTTAGGGGGAAAGGGAGTTGAATGTGGGAAGCATCCCTTTCACAAGAGGACAAAAAAAAGGACTTATCTACATCCAGTGGACAGGACCTGAGAACCTTCCAGTGATTTTACAAGAGTAGAAGGATAATAAAGAGGAAAAAGCAGGGCCTTACTTACTGTACTTGATTATGGACCTAGCTTTTGTATTGTAAATGAGGTGAAGGGTCAAACACAACTGGCAAACAGTGTTTTAATGTTGCCCAGCACCAATACTGCTACTCCTCCCTTCCCACAACACTTTTCCTACCTCTTAAAATTCCTACCGAGTATCTCCTGAGCACAACAACAAACCCCCATGTGTCTCTCTCTCTCTGTGAAATCTTGAAAATCTTGAACTTTTCATCCATATGACTCAGTCGTAGTGATAATCCTCTCTCTTCACCTTGCTTCTGTACTTCCACTGACACAGGATGTTAACATAGACTGGGCCCCCGACATACACAGCAGGGCCCCTTTCCAGCAAACAGGAAAAACAGCCATAAGCTAGGAAGCCAGTGAGGGCCCTCTTCCTGTGGGGTGCCATCACCTAATAAATCCCCTGCCCCCCAGCGTACAAAGAGCATGAAACAGGAGGGGTGGGATATGATGTTAGGAAATATGAGAGCCAGGACATCACTCCGGATTAACAAAACTGTATACAGTATATCCACAGACTCCCTGAAATACACTGTTATATGCTTTATCCACACTGATGTTGATGCCATCAGATAGGGATGCTAGAGTAGACACATTCCTCAGTCAATATGCAACAGTAAAAAAACACCTTCCAATACACTGGTTTAATCAATTTTAAGCAGCTGGTCTCACTATGAAAAGCTGCAGATAAGACTCACCTTTGAGTATATACACATTCTCACAATTTAAAAACTACTATAACCATCAGGTCCATTGCCCTTTTATTTATAGAAGGATGTCTTATGTTGTTACACGGCATCTTGACTGCCAATCTAATTATTTAACTCCAATCATTCAATAAAGTTTTGGAGAAATATTACTTAAATCTTGCTTAAAGATACATTATGTAACTTTCCTACCTTAAAATAACAGCTTCACTACCACTTTGATGCTATAATGACTTATTATAGTGAAAATGGTGCCTCTGTCATCCCCACTCTCTCACTCACCCCCCATACGCCTGTTCTTACAAGGCTTTACAGCACTACTTCCCAAACCACCAACAATTTCACCGATTTTGGTGAAACTGGATTATATATTTTATGCAGAAAATGTTTTCTGGCTTTGCCACAGATGTCCTCCGGCTGTTCCGCCTCAGCTCTCTTACAAAGCTTTCTGAGGAACAGTAGAGTAACTGCTGCGAACTATAGCTGCAGTTAGCGAGGTAGCCTAGCCGTACTGCCCAAGACTGGGTGCTCAGATCCCGGGGGGGTGGTTGTGCTTACACTGGTGGCATAAGAGCTTTGGACTGCCGGGAAGAGGACGTTTTCAGGCCCGAGATACGGGGGAATGCTTCTATGGCTAATGGCAGAGGCAAAGAAACCAAAAGTGACGATGGAGGAAGTGAGGTAGAGAAACCGGGAGAGTGACCGGGCTGCCTTCTTGCTGTTGGACTGGTCAGTAATATTAGCTGCTTGCTATGTCTTGTGATGTTCCACTTGGTTGATGTTTGGCTGTGTTAACAAAGTTGTCAAACAAACAAACAAACTCATCAACAAAGTCACTTGTTTTAACCTGTGTGTGTGTTTTCACACATCCCCACAACCTAAACCATTCTACTCTTTGCTCAACCACCTAAGGGTGATGCTCAGAGTTGACTGAAAAACCATGACCGTGAACACGAATCACATGTTTTTAAAAGAAATTCTATAAAATTGTGATTCTCATTGCAAAATTACCACTTGATAAACACATTCTCTCCCTGCTTGCTCTTATGTTGCTCAACCTCACAATTGTTTTTGTGCCGTGGTTACAGATGAGCACTGACACTGAGACATAAGAGGCCTATTCCAAAAGTTCTGGTGTCTGGCACCAGTCCCAGAGAAGGTCATGTCTGATGGACCCTGCTCTTGCTTCCTCTGTTTATTTTATGTCAGTGCCTCCCTGCGACAAGCTGTATTTTCTCTGTCAGTTATTGTCTGTGACAGAGATGTCGCTCTCAGCACATCGGTCAGCACTGTCCTAGGAGCCGTTTTTGGGATGGTGCCCTGGTGACTCAGGGGACAAGAGGGGGAAGTGGAAGATGACATCAGTGCCTGGCTGTTCCTCTTCTGTAGCTTCCCAAACCCCCCCACCCACAGACACCCACCGCCTCAAGAGCTAGACAGGAGATCTGCTTCACTTGTGGTGAAGCCTCAAGCCTGTTGTTCCCAGTTCCTAGGAAACTTTCTGATGCAAGCTTTGGCAACTTAACCTTGAAATCTTTCCATTAGAGAAACTAGTGCAAGCGTCACTTTAAAATGTATCAAGTAGACCAGTATAGTTTGTCAGATAAAAAAGCCAAATACAAGTACTGCTGTGTCATAGTTTGATTGCTTAGAGTAATTAAGTAGTAAGTGCCCTAGACAACGTCATACTTTGAGAATCTCCTACTTTAAAGTGAAAACAAATTGTGCAACATGTAATATCCCCAGACTCATGCGTGGGCTCTAACCAAAGTCTGTTTATGATGAAAAAACAGCATGACAGCAGTGAGACAGCCATGAAGAGACTGCATCAAATTGGTTTTGTTTTGGCGTTGTTCACATCCCGGGACTCTGGCATTCCCTCCACCCTTTAAGCAACAATGGCAGCAGTGTTGCAGTTGTGAGGCCTGTGGGCCAGGCAGTTCACTTCACACTCTGGCTGTTGTTTACTTGGAAGAGGAGTATGAGGAGTGGGAGCAGCCATAGGGATGAAGCTGCCACTTCCCAGAATGCACAAATGTAGCTTTCGGCAGCAGAGCAAGCCGACTATTGTGACAGCTAGAGAGCAGATCTTGAGAGTCAGTTTATACAAGGAGACTACGCAGGAACAAACAAGCAACTTTGATGCTTCTGATTCATATCATATATCCTGAGTTACACAAGCTACTGTTTAATAAGTTGTAACACTGCAACTTAATTTTTTTTTACATCAAAGAATCTGAATCAATTAGTGGGGAAGGTGCCTAACTCAAGTGTTTTTTCCTGGCTTCTTCCCCCCCGCCTTTCTGTATATCTCCGTAGGACACAGTACGATAAAAGCTGCTGCTATATATGCCGACTCTCATCTAACTCCTTTCAGTCTCTTACCGGTTTCGGCATCTCTGCTTCCTCTCCTCCTTACACCCGACAGCTGAGAGGATAAATCCGTCACAGGACGGCAACAACACCTGTATCACAGGACCTGAAAGCGAAAGAGACAGTTTTTCTTTCAGGCACACAGTATACATAGGTGAAACAACACGAACAGCTGCCTAAGTAACTTGTGTTTTTTGCATTCTCTGTAACTAAAATGATGTGACAAACAATATATTACATTTCAATTCATCCTTAAATGTAGCAGTTCATTGAAGCGAGCACAAGTAGAGTACCCAAAGAAAGAAATTAAATCTGTTTATTACTACAAGGCACAGAAACCCCCCACAGCCAGAAGCACAAAAAAGTTGTTTTGCATCCAATCTTGCACTACCACTTTGCTGTACATAACGTACATATGGTAACTATTGCAAGGGTGTATGGGGAATCTACTTAAAGCATAATTACCGTGGAACAGAAAACTGAAAGTCACAAAGGCATTACACGATGACTCATGGACACAGATGTGAAATGATCTGCGGATACACTTATCAGAATAGAAGATCTGTCTGACACACATTACCAGATAACGGGACCACACAATTTTTTATCTCTTTCACTCTGCATCTCGTCATTGCACGCTCTACCTTATTTTGGCCCATTACTCATATCATGTCAAAAAAATACAAAATAAATAAATAAAAACACTGAACTACCCGACATTAGATTTCAATTACTGATCATGATTTTTTACTAGAGATGCACTAATTCATAGTCAGAGCACTGCTATCAGCCAATATTCCCCTTGTCGACCAACACTGATAGTATTAACCAATGTCAGCGGACCATGTTTTTCTGTTGTGTGACATCAATTTTGTGCCGGCTAAAAGTTGTGTGGGTCAATTCCAACTCTGATATTGGAGAAACAATCCCCTCTGTTTTGCAGCACTGGCACACATTGCACGCAAATATCTTTTCTCCATGCACCAGCACGGACTGTGAGCGGCTGTCAAGGCAGAGATGCTTATATATCCCTGGCTCAAAAGGGTGAATAAATAACAATAACTTAATCTATCTTCATCTGCCATGCTTTCTCTAAAATATATGTCACAGTCTAGCTACATTGTAGTTGGAACACAAGTTTGGAAATGACTTCTGAGTCTTTGAACATATCACAACAACCAGGTCTAGATGCTATATCATAGATAAAGTATCACAAAGTGTTCTATTAGCAAATGACAGAGCAATAACTTTACATTGTAATACTGACAGAGGGGCTGCTTTCTGTCACTGTGGATAGTTTAGTTTTGAAGACAGTTCAAACATCCCTTACGTGTCTTTTCCATTATCACATGTACGTTTATTTTAAGGTAACATTGTTGGACACTGCTGCTTGAACACCCAGCTGTCCTGACCTTCAATTTTGTAAAACTATTTTGATACTACATAAGGGATTCCTGAGTTCTTGGCAATAGTGTGGCATTAAAGTGTCATGCAGTTCTCGTCTTACACAATCCTGTAGTGGCAAGTTGGCAAATATATTAATCCCACCTACTTTACTACTTTTTGAATTTAACGCCCAGGTAATCCTCTGTTACAGCCCTAAATATTTTTACATTCAGAATCCAAAACAAGGCCAATAAAATGGTATTATATAGTTGTATAAGGCTCTGATAGTGGCCTTACAGACAGTGTGACATAAATTATGGTTGTGTTAAAATAAATAAATGTGTAAGGCAGTCCCCTGAACATCTGAACTGTGGCGTTTGTACTCCAGATGAAGACCTGCCCACTTGTAGCTTGTACGCAATTAGCTTGTGTATTTGCCCGCCGAGAGTTGGCTTCCGTTACATTGTAATTTAACCACAATTTAATCAAATGGTGGACAACTGTTGCCAAAACGTTAGCTACAACGGCATGACACGACGAAAACATTTTTAAAAAACCATTACCCACCGTTTATCTTGCCAAAACACCCTTTTTTCTGAGTTTCACTCGGTAACACATTAATGTGAACAGTATCACGACTCTTCATCTGAAATACTTTAATGAAGTCAAGCGGTGGACCGTTGAAGTGCTGACATTTTTTAACCTAGTGGGTGTAGTCTATATAACGGGACGAGACTAACCAAGCTTTGCCTGTGAAGTTTCGAAGCATTAAAAAAAAAAAAAAAAAAAGAATTGGCCATCATTAATTCACCACATTTGCCACCAAACACAAAAACACCCCGAAAAAATGTAACTTACGTAAGGCAAGCTACGGTGCGTTTACTTAAGGGGGCACAACTTGGTACAAGTGGGCTTTGCTATCGTGTCGTATAAAATATGAAGTGGTCGAACACGAGGATATCCGCTATTGCATCAAACTTGAAGAGAAGCTCATCTTTTTTTTTAGGGAGAGGCAACTCACCGGGGGGACGAAGTATGTCTTTAAATTTGTAGAAAAAGCCTCGTATCTTCAGATGTAACAGAAATGTCCACGATGAGAAACCCGTTCCGGTCCTCGCTCCTTATCTCGTAGTGCTTTTACCGAAACAAATTCTCGCAGACATAGAGAAACCGTTCAAGTCTTAGCGACCATAAGGCGATTTGGGGTGCCAGCGTCGAGCCAGCCGGAATAAAATACTGCAGCTTCCGGCTTCAACCTTAAAAAATAAAAGCCCCGTGAACGCATGCGGTAAAATCTGTACATGAAGACTTTTAGTATCGCAGTCTTACCTATCTCAATTTGTTATTCCTGAACTTTTAACAAAAGTTAAACAAGTACCAGTAAATATGGCCTTTCAAAAGTATCTGACACTAGGCTACTTTAATGACGTTGCTATTAAAAAACTGAAATACATAACAAAAATAGAACAACAGAGTGTTTTTGAGCTATAGTTTCACTTTTATCTTAACCATCCAACTAAAAGTTTAAAGTTAGGTTGCATAATGTTTGTTCTGTACGCACAGATAGTTCCCCCTCAACAGTTTTGACATTACTTTGAAGGGGGAAATGCCTGATTTCCGGTCTTGTCTTCAGTTTCTGTCGCAAACCTGACGCAGCTAATTGTGGAGATGTTCAATATGGCTGTCAGTAGCGAGGAGTGGATGCAAGGCATGTGTGAGGCATGCATCGTGCCACGAGCTGTATGGGGGTTGATTCATATCAGACTGAACGTTTTGTAATTGGCTATACATCTGTGGCAGAGCTCCCTGCTCTGCACCCCCCCCTGGCAGACTGGACCTGTGCAATAGCGCTGGAAGTGGTCCATTTTGCACAGAATCACGTACACCCAGTCTGCAGTTGCAGTATGTGTCAGTTCCTGCAGTTTAGATCTGTGCTGGATTGAGTTTAGCATGCATCATATCTAGTGGGTTTACAGTATATATCTGACCAAAAGTAGTTCAATACTTTCTCACAAAGTACATCATGCTGAATACATTTGATGTTTTGAAGTAAATATTCCACACAAAGTGCATTTAATGTAGTTTTTCTTACTCTTCCTGTACTTTGTTGCAGAAAAAAGCCTTGGCTAATATATGTCCATTATAGTATAAACAATTATGCATTGCTCTCTTAACCTATCTGACAAAAATGGCTCCTAGCTTTATGCGAATAAAATCAAACAAGTAGGACTCTATTCTCTTAAGACCCCTGGATGCTAGTCTGTGTCTGAAATAACTACATTTGAATAGTTAATCAAGAATAACCACTAACTCAAGTACCTGATATTGCCTACACAGAGTCAAGTCAAGTTAGATTTTATTTATATATTGTAAAAGAAGAAGGTATAACCCCTTTAATGGTGAAAAAATAAACCTCAGGAGGAGCCGCGGAGGAGGGATCCCTCTCCCAGGAAGGAAGGACGTGCAACAGACCTCGAGTCTACAGAACAAACCAACAAAATCACATTGTATACAAATTTTGATGACAGTATTTCTGATACACGAAGATTATAAAATATACGTGAAGAATGTGGCTCCAGGAGGACACTGAAACAACTTCAGATGTCACAGACCTCCTACCCACCATGGAGACCTGGAAGAAGACAAGCCACAGAATTGATCACCAAAAATCTAAATATATACAGATATTGAAGACAACAATACCAATATATATATTTGTAAAACACAAGTGAAAAGTAGGTTCCAGGAGGATGTTGAGTAACTCCAAGTGTTGCTATAAAGGCAGAACTTGACCCACACGACCTCCACGGAGAAGGTTTGTTGTGTGGATTCAGAAGTAATTTTCTGCACTTATTTTTGTCTGCCACCAGAAGTCCTGGCGTCTTTTCTGCTGGTGTCCCAGATGGCTTAATAAAAGCTCCTCCATTTGTTGGTACAGTAGAGGGATTTAATGTATTTCATTTGTCAAGAGTGTGTTTGGTTACATTGGCCTGCTGACACACACACACACACACACACACACACACACACTAGTGAGGAAACCGCTGCAGCCGCAGTACTGCAGATGCCTCTCGTTGTCCAAGCTGTTACCTTGGAAGCAGGTGAAAGGGATCAGAATAAATGTACAGCAAGCTCAAACAGACATGACAATAAATAAGTTAGTCATGGAAATAACTAACTAGGCCAAAAAGAGTTCTGGATGTAGAATGAGAAAGTTCTGCAGACATATAATCTATGGTGGCGGTGCACTAAAATCATCTGTGGCCCCTTCACATTGCCTATGCTACTATAAACTCCTGTGGTTGAAAATTAAAGTGGACAATCTTGACTCAGTGTGTTATAAAAATTTGACAGACATCATGTCTGACTGCACTGTCAATCCCTCCTTCCAAGTTTCCACCCACTCTCCTCCATTGTCCATGTCCATACTTCTCTTTTATTCCCTTACTCTTTTCTTCCTCCCCCTTCTTTCATTATTTAATTCTTCCTGTCTCCCTCCTTACTTCCACTCCCCTTCCTCCCCTCTTTATCTGACTTCAGTCTGATCAGTGTTTGAAGCTTATCTGAGGAACACAGTCACACTGACGCACGTAGACATGCTGCAGATGTTTTGTTCTTAGATTTACAGAGACACTTATACAAGGAGGATGTTGGTGACAGAAAAAATGTTACTTGCCATAGTTTTGGTCTGTCTGGAGACTTTGTAATACATTTCCATAAACTTTCCCCCCACCCAAAATTAAATATTACCAGGGACTACAAAGCTTTCTCATTGCAAACTCAAGTCAACATTGTTATTTTAATGATAATAATGACTAATGTTGCATATTTTTAAGTTATTGAATCAGTATGATGTTCTGGTCATGGTGATACTGTCACTGCTCATAATAATAATAATAAACATTCACATTTTTAAGATTTTTAAGAGTTGATGGATGAGCCACAGTTGTACAGGACAAACATATATTCTGACTTTGTCCTGCAGTTCCTATTTAAATAAAAGAAGAAGTTCTTGAAGCTCAGTTGTATTAATTTGTTAGGATATAAAAATGTTACGATATGCCTGTATGTGTCAGGCTGAACATAAGAACTTAAGTACACCTTCAAATTGAACTGAATTGCAGGTTAATTAGGGCAGTAAAACAGCAACATTGATGAACTTCTCTTAGTGAAATGACTGGATGTGAAACTCAGCAGAGACATTTAAACATATTATGGTTCTCCAGATGTGTTTCTACTCCACAGATGTCACAGCAGCTCATTAAAAGTTCTTATCATTTATAGAGAGGGGGGATCCTGACACCTGCTGGACAGCGCACACCATTGCAGCCTGTCTTGTTCTGTGTGTGTGTGTGTGTGTGTGTGTGTGTGTGTGTGTGTGTGTGTGTCTCCAGTATAAATAAAGATGTACTGGTGATAAAGCTCCCTGAGGGCATCAACCTGTGTGAAGTTGGAGTGCGGTATCACACATGCAAGCAAACAAACACACCAGTGAACACAGCCACTGAGTTTCACACACTATTTCCACCATCTAATATGTGTGTGTCTCTCTTTGTATGTGTGGGAAGAGGTGATTTTGCTCCTGTCTGTGCTGCTCTTCCATCCAACACCTCCTATTCAAAGCAAGTTTGAAGTCTATTTTGGTCACAATGTTTTTTTCTTTCTTGTGACTGGCTTATGATCTGTGGCAGTGGAATACTAGATCATCGGTGAATTAAGTCAAGATATCAAGAAGAAAAAAGGTTTTTAAAGCCAACATATTATTGGTTAAAAAATGTTTATAAGTCACATCTACACTAACCTGTGCCCCCATTTTTTAAAAAAAAAAAAAAAGCCCCCCTAAAAGTATGCTGGTTAAAACTTTTATAATGGTGTAGTGGTTATATTTTAAATCAGTCAAATAATAAAACAATCGTAACCTAACCAGATTTGGAACTGTTTGACCACGAATGCATCATGACTGAGTCTGTATGTGCACTGGTGCGCCCCTGGCACAGTCCGCCTCTGCGTGTCGGTACGGCGAGCACAGCCACTCTACTCTTAATCTCAAACTCTTATAAATTCAAGTTCTTTAGATAATTTAGTAAGAGAGTTCAGGGCCTGCATAAACAGACTAACCAAAATCTCCTCCTACAGGGCGAGGAAGAATATGGAAGATTAAGAGGAGGAGGAGGAGGAGGAGGAGACCGAATTGGGTCCAACTAATTGGGCAGGCGGAGCTGTTTGGCCTGGGGATAACGTGCAGGTAAGCGCACACCGTTTTTACCATGCACACATTCACAATAAAATATGTACACATTAAAGCACAGCATCGACTTATATTATTGCAGTAGAATCAAATGTGTGCAGTGTCCTATTAGGACGCACGGAGGCAGCGCAAGTTCATTTACAGAGCCACTACTGAAGGATCCTTCTGCAGACGTTAGCATGCCAAACCCCGTTATTAACCGGGCACATTAAATGTTTGCGTACCGACAAAGTCATGCTGTGTCCTCAACATCGGACATTTTAATGAATACAGCCAGGCTGACAATTCGGCAGACACATGGTTCACGAATTTTAAAGAAATATTGAACACATTTGACTACACAACTCCCTGGAGAATTGCATTGTGGGAGTAAAACTCCAGACTTTATTGGGGTATGTGCGGCTTGATGTGTTGACGCCTGCTGGTAGGAAGACATGCTCCTGTTTGCTTGTTTGTGGTATTTGACCCATTGGTCACACTGACATTTTGGAATGAGGGGTGGAGGGATGATGAAGAAGAGAACATTGTATCTCTGTTTAAGTAGTGGTGTGTCTCTGGTGTTCATTCATTAAATGAGTTGGGAGAAGGTCATGCATTCCTTTTTGAGACTAATTGTCTTCCAGTGAAGCCCAGAACATCCAGGTATTTAATACAGTGATCCCTGTTGGCCCTTCACGTTCATTCACTTTGCACAGGTGCATATGTCAGTTGTGCCATCATCCCTTTGTTTCAGTGGAATTTTTTTTCCTTTATATGCAATGCAGAGAATTTCATTTTGAGTTGCATTTGTGTTTGTGCTTTGAGTCCGGGATCGGTTTTGTTAGCATTTCATTATTTCCTGATATCGATACTGATACTGCTTATTGATACCGATGCTCTTATTGATATGACCTGATTCGGTGCTAAAAAAAAAAAGACATGACATGAATAGATATGAAAAAATTCAACAGTTATTTTATTGTTACTTTTTTGCAGATATAACAAGTT